TATCGACACGGAGGAGATATATCTCCGCAGGAGGAAGACAGATGTGAGGTTGTATAATCGGCGTGGTTTCGGAGACTTGACTTCGTCGTATGTCTAAGCGCTATTGCCTGCGGAGAACATGGTGATCGTACTTCTCCGTACGTGTTCGAGAGTATTATATATGCGAAGGCGCGTGCGTGTACGGGCTCCGTGCGTGTTAGACGAAGTCAGCCTGGGCAGCAGCTGCTTCTCGCCATCATCAGCGCCATCAGCGCCGAAAGAGCGTCCGTAGGCAGTCAGTCCGTCATCGATGATTGGCCAACGATCAATGGCAGGAGGCTGCTGTCTCTCCCACTCACCAGAGTAACTTCCAGCAGGCGGCAACTTGGTGCGAAATGCCGCATGGGCATGATGCTTTTTTTTATCTTACACTGGACATGCAAATTCTGTCCTCTTATTCACGCATAAAATCGTACACAAAATTCCTTTCAGATTTCAGAATACCGACAGCAACCAGTTCGCAGCTCGACACACGCTCGTTTCATATTTGTTAGAAACACCGCATTCTGCAATGTGCAGCAGCGCCAAAGACCTATGGTTGCAGCGCACATCGGGTAGATCCACTGTCGCTGAGCGCTGGTGGTTGTAACACCGACACCCGTGCCATCGTCGGCGGCGATGGCGGCCCGTCGAAAATCGCTCAACGTCACACCGAATGGCCACGGGCGTAGTGCCGAGAGTGCTCCTCCGTCGGAGACGAATCTATTTGCGGGTGGCTCGCGTGCTGCGAGAAGCCCTGGCCAGCCTCGGGGACGATCACCACCGGGCCCGAGAGGGCGAGCGGAGGCCGCTTCCGGGCGCACGCTCTGTCCATTAGACGAGCTGGTCTAATCCGACTCCCCTCCTCCCCCGTTAGACCGGGCGGGGCCGGTGGGAAGCAGGGGAGGACCCGCCCCTGCAGGAGGTGAAACTGCCAGCTGGGCGCCGATTATCGGAAGCCGCGATTTAATGAAGGCGGGCGGCGCTGCAGTGACGGCCTGCTGTTGACATCCTGCTGACACCAGCCGGCACCGTCGGCACATTATCCGCCCGGCTGCCGCCCCTGCCCCCGCCCCCGCCCCGGGCCCCAGCTGGTGGCGGTGCTCTGATGAACAGGGACCGGCCCTGCAGTGGCGGACGGTGCGCGGGACGGCGCGATCTGCTCTCGGTGATCGGCTCAGAGCAATCCTCGGTCTCTGCAGAAGTTGGTCTAAGGCTAAAGTCTGCCAACGCACTACGCTGCGGTGACGGAGATCGCAGGCAATCGACGTGACGTGCACACGAACTTTAAACGTTCTCCCTCATGCTTACACTAAGACAGTTGTCTTATTGATTTTCATGAAATTGAAGGCAAAACATGGCACAAAACTTGACCGACTATGGTTTACTTTAATCTTAGTCCCATGATTTTTACGTTTATATTTGGCGGCTATCTGTTCCACCCTGACATCGTGATAGGGAGATTGCCTTACCAATCAAAACGTTAACCCCACTCCACCTTAACCGACTCGTCTGATAGATGAGACCGTAAGAAGAAAAATATCATTCAATCGAGCCTCAGATTAGGCGCAATGTGATTTTAAAACCAGATATGACACGAAATTGACCATTTTCGAGCAGGGTCTGCGCTTCATTTTGGTGACTATCGCTAGCCTCAACCTCGCTTTGGTTTTCCCCATTTAACGCCACATTTGGCGGCTCTAAACCAGAAAATTCAAAGATTTTAATTTACGTCATCAAAAATTGATGACGTAATTTTTTCCAAAGCTATTTGATGTAATAAGTGCACTGACAAATTTAGAGCCTCATCGGAAGTGATGCCCTTATTTTTTTTGGACCATCATTATAATTTCTAACAATTTCTAACACTCTGACGAAACTCCATTTTAAAATCGATGGCAGCCTGCCACATGTCAAGTAAATCTTTGAAAACCTCTTTTAGCGCAACAAGATATGGCAGCATTGCCTTCATGCAAAGAACTTCCCTTGACTCGGCCGCGATTATTTGACTTTCTTCGCAGGCTCCTCTGGATGTTACGAATATACTATCCTTTGAATAAAAAGTTTAAATGACGTCACATGTGACCATAGGCGCGGGAACCGGGGGGGGGCAGTGGGGGCAGCTTGCCCCCCCCCCCCAACTCTGGGGCCGTGGGGGCGGTGCCCCCACAACTTTGAGACGGAAAACCGCACTTTTTTGCAAATGTTTTCTTTTTTGTTGAAAAAGCCAAGGGATGAAAATTAAGTGGCCTAAAACCGGTGAGAAAACTAGATTTGGGGGTACCCCAGGTTGATCTCTATTATCCCGCGCCCGGCTGGGGGTCCTGGATTTCCACGCCCTGCTGGGGGGGGGGGTGTTTGAACACCCCCCCTTCTAACTCGGCTCCTGGGCCACGTAGCGATACGCGGAAGGCGGCGTTCGAAAGAGCGCTAAAAATAATGACGAAATCACTTCGGTCACTTTTTTGGTCAGGTCAAAGGTCAGGTCACCAGAGGTCATTGAAGGCAAAATTTCGCCGATTTTCAGGTCGAATGTCGACAATTTCCAAGAAGCCAACGCATAACTCGGGAACCAATAGAGCTACAGCGCCGCGGAAAAGCGCATTCGATAGCCCTATTAACGCTCTTTCTGAGTAATTCTCTCAGATTTGACCTATCGTCAACGGTTTTGCCTGCAGGGGGCAAAAACTGCCAAAATAGCCGATTTTTTTTCGAAAACAGTTTTTCTGCAATAACTTTTGACCCAGGCCTTGCACGAGCTTACTTTTACCGGCATCGTGTTCCTCTCGTCAAGACGCATCGAATGAACTGTAACTTGACCTTGAAAGGTCAACTTGAAAATTTGACCTCAGGTCAAGGTCATGACCTGACCGGAAAGGGTCATGTTGCATATCAGTCGATCCGTATCGTCGAGCTGAACACATCCAAGGCGTTTTCATCGCTCTAGCATGCTTCTATCAAAAGTTATTCGCGAAAAGCTGTTAGATACCATCCGTGACCTGAGATGACCTCAGGGGCATACACAGGGGTCACAGATACCATTTTCATGTTCAGGGTGTCTTAGTTACTTGTTATTCAGTGTTTGGGAGTGTTTATAATGGCTTTCATAAAAAAGCGCCTTTCAATTTTCTCCCATTGACTCATAATGGGGAGGTCGCAAAATTGACCTGACCTTAGGTCATCGATATCAAAATTCTGAGATATACATTTTGTACATGCTATTGCTCTTAGCAATCGCTGAAAGTTTCAAAGCGATCGGTCACTCGGTGTAGCTATGGCAGACATTGAAACTTTTTATGAGGTGAGGTCACTTCAAGTGACCTGGTGACCTGACCTTGAATGACCTTGGTCTGAAATTTTCAGAACATGTGTAGAATTGATGTGTAATAAGGTATACCAAAAACGGCGGCGCTCCGCGCCGCCGTTTTTGAGATATTCGCGAAAAACCACAGGGGGGGGGTGTTCAAACACCCCCCCCAGCAGGGCGCGGGTTATGGTGTGCCCCCCCCCCCAGTCTGAAAGTAGTTCCCGCGCCCCTGCATGTGACGTCATGTTGCATATCAGTGGATCGCGGAAAACCGCAGGGGATGTTCAACCCCCCCCCCGTCCCCGAGCAGGACGCGGGTTAATGAAAAAGCGGACAGGATTCGGACGCGTCTGCCCCCGTGCCGCTACAAACCAAGGCCCTACAAAGTACAAAGTAATCGTGTCGCGGGGCTCCATCCAGGAGCCTGGTTGTCATGGAAACGACGCTTTGAATAAAGTCCTTCATCGCCGTAAAGTTTTCTTTTGTGATGCCCTAAACGCAAAATTCAAAATCTCGTGGAGGTGTGGCCCTAAAAATGCGGCCCTAAGGTTGTGGGGCTAAATTAAAACAGCTCGAGCGATGATGGTCTAAACTTCTAAAACGGGTATGTATGATTCAGTGGCGAAAGAGTGTCCCGACCATAAACATTACCAGTACCGTGCATTCCGAGCATAATGCTTTGCGGGACAGTATAAATTCAGGCGCTTACCGCTGCTGCCATCTATGAGCGGGAAGGATAAATATGCACCTTTCGCTTTATCTGTTATGGTGTAGCACATGTTTTTACGTCACATCTTTACCCATATATGGTCTAGCACATGTTTTTACGTCATCAGCCCTCAGAGTTTTCTAAATCTACAAATGCCAGTTGCCACCTGGTCGACTCGAATTAGAGAGGAAGTTTTAACGGCACTCTGCATTCCGCACGGAGTTCTGCCATGCCGCATCGGCCAAAAGGCCTCCTACACGACTGGCGCAGAAAGAAAATGCATACTGGTCTGCATTCAACGTGCCATGGCAATCAACACTGGCGGCCCCAGCTAAATTTTGGGCCACATTTTCGTTTCATAGCTCCACTGCTTTTTGAAATGTTACCAGCAAGATTAGTGGGATATACATCATGACGCCGAAGAACGTACTTTACGAACGAAATATAGCAGAAATGGGTCCAGCCTTCCCGTGCCGTTTTAGCTGAACAAAAGTCCGCGTTAAGTACGACCGCTTAATTAACTCATTAATTACGTTTAAACCGGGTACCACCATGAACGTAATCTCGACTATCCTACCACGGATTTCCATGCTTCCAAGTTATCTCTATATTTAGATTATCACCATTAGACCGATGCATAATACTGCCATTTATGCTCGCTTCATTTCCCTAATGGCATGGTTGCAACGGTGCTAAAGAAGATATATGCAGGCCGCATACTAGCAGTATGCATTCTGAGGCTGCACGCCGCATGCACAAAGCAGAGCTTGAATGCTGTTATGCCACAATAAGTTAGGGATAATGGGGAGGAACTCGTTATAACTCGGTTTTACTTTGTATAATCAGCAGATCGGGACAAAGGCCGGTGTCGATATTGGGGCATACCTCATCGTCTTGCTTCGTTCGGTCTACATCGCCTGCTCTCACGCTGCTCGCTAGATAATTACCAACAAAAGATCGCCGTGCTCATGTTTACTTCCCATTGTATTCAGAGACCTCCATCCTTATCATCTATACAACGACGCTCCGACGGAGCTCAGGCCACCGCTGAACCGTAGCATCGCTTTCCAAAGCCACGGCCTCCGGGTATAAAATACAATAAATAGTTTAACTACAACTATTTCGGGGCGCCGTGATTTTGAGTCCACGAGTACACACGTCCGTCGTTGCGAGAGCGTCATACACATACAAGACAACGCACAGCGCGCACAAACGCACACTCGCACTCTCACACACATACCAGGTGGCTCAGAGAGGTGCCATACCCACACACCCATACCCATACACATACCCATACACATCAACACGCGCTGCTCTCCGTGCGGAGGTGGGAGCATTGTGGCCGCCCGCGCGCGCCCTGTACATTTCTCTCAGCGTCCAGTGCCGCCGTTATTGCTCGCTTATTGCAAGGTCGAAATGGGGGAACGCTCAAACTGAGGGGGTAAGCAGCGACAGAGAAGGGGGCGGGGAGCGGGATACCCGAGGCTGAATGAAGCGCTGTTGAGGGCGGTCATTCAGCGGTAGGGGTCGTTGTTTGGCACTTAATTAAATTGATCGGGAAACGGTTGACGGAGGCGGCGAGACACTGCCGAAATGTGAATAAGAATCGAGCATACACATGATAGAATGTGGTGTAAAGTAAAGGTAGCCAGAGCCGCGCTCGAGAGGTAGCGATGTTCAAGAAAGTGTCGCCGTTAAGTACACGGGGACGGCCTTAAATTGAAGACCAGGCGCAGAACAGCGGTCGTATCACATGAGTCAATACTGCGTGCACTAGGAACGGCTCATGGGCGAACACAGACTCAGCACGTAACGCTGCCGAAACCATTGGCGGTCCGTCAGTCATATTTTGTCGCGCGAACAGAGACTTTTCAAAGGGGGTTTGTCATTGGCCAGAACAGGGAGGCCCAGGGCAACTGCCACTAGCAGGGTCCCCACACAATGCATAGCGGTTCCAGTCGTAACATATAGCGGACACAGACCAAGTGTACACAGACGTTACAGATGACCATCGAAAGCAATGCTCGGTGTTACATCGGAGGTGTGTGCGAAGGCATTGCGACTTCGTGAGACCCGAAAACGGGGCAAACAGCTGCTCTCTCTCTCTCTCTCTCAAAGATTCTCGCCCAGCCTCGGCGATCGCTGCTCTAGCTAACGGCATTTTTGCATAGAACAATCCTTCCATTGCATCATGCGCTGATGTTCTATTGCCTTGATTTTATTGCTGCCCTATGTTCTTCGTTTCAATCACGTAAAAACATGTCTAAACGTCTACAGTAAAACGGTCAATGCAATCAGTGTATCAATGATAAAATATAGACTTTCGTCTGTTATTTACAAATAACGTCGCGTATGTTTGGGCTAGAGCTAAAACAATTCATTGCCCGATTTTTTTTCTAGAGACCTCGGCTAAGTGAGGCCCTCTGTAGGCTATCCAAACTAGGCAAATCACACAGCTGTGGCCCCGATATGAAAATATTTTGCTTGTGAGATCGAACTGTGCTAACAGCTGCAATCAGAAACAAGACAACGTCGGCCTGGTTCAAATAAACTACGGAGCTGAGTATTTGGCCGCAGATCGGGGTGCGGGAAGGCGAGCTTGATGGAGTCCGAGACCGATATTTTGAACAGGTTCCAAGCGGGAGGAGTGGTATCACCGCGAGCGAGGCCACCTCTCCGGCGACCCCGCCCGTCACCGGCGGTCACCGAGTTACCGCCGGCGTCACCGACGACCAGCGCCGACCAGCAATCACCACAGAGTCACCAAAGTCACCAGCGGCACCGGCCTCCACGGCCTCCGGCGGGTCGCCGCGACTGGCACCAGCCGCGCACCAACCCTGAGCCGGAAGCTCGACCTGGCCTTTGCGCGACCTGCACACCGTCTTAACCCTACACAATCGGCCGAGGCCGGCCCCGCGCGCGCCGCGGGCACAACAACACACACGACGGCCAGCGAGGCCGCGCTCTGCGCTATGTACAGCTCCTCCCGCACGCCCCAGGCCGCCGGCGGCCGGCCGGGGAAGACACGCATTCGTGGCCGGCGCCGCGCAAGCTTGCCGCCCTCTTTGATTGCATACAAACGGTGGGCAGGTGGGCCCGCGGCGGCGGTGACGGCGGAGTGGGCCGCCGGAGCGCAGTGTCCGCTGAGGTCAGACAGGCGGGGCTGCCGCCAGCCAGGGCGGAGCGGCCGCCGCAGAGACGGGAGGCCCTCGCCGCCCGCGCCGGCTTGTCACCCAGGTGTGGTGAGGTGTGAGAGCGCGTGCCCGTCCCAGCCGCCGTCCCGAGACCTCCCGGGCACCGCGCCGCAACAGAGGGCCAGATGAGACAGCCAGACGCTGTAACCAAGCCTAGACTACCGTGTGAAAGACTCAAAATACTTCCCGTTGTCTGGCGACGACCACCGAGACGCTAGCGCAGCAAATTAAGTATACCGTTCGGTAAAAAGACAGTTTAAGTACAGATGACAACACCGTTCGATCACTGGGATGCTGGTAACGAAATCTACGTACAAAAGCATGATAGCCGCGAAGGTTTTCCTGCACTCTTTCACCGGCATCTCTAAATAATTTATCTACGCGATCAGTCGGGCTGGCACAGCGCACGGCCGCCAGCCGCGCGGCGTGGCGGCGTGGCGGCGGCCGGGGCCAGCGGGCCGTGCCCCGGACCCCTATCACCGATCCCCGCCCACAGAGAGGTCACAGCAGGTCACCGACCGGCGGCCGGCCCGGGCCGCTCCTCCTACAACTAGCGCACTATTTACACAAGGACACAGATGCATATACACGCGCGTATGCATAGACAATGTTTCTGGCGGCCGGGCGCGGCGGCCGACTGCAGGCTGCGACGGTGGGTGCTGCGGGTCCGAGGCGCGCTGCCGCTGTCCACCTCTGATCACGGACCAGGCCACGGTCCAGGTCACGGACCACGGACCAAAGGACCACTGGCCGCGGACCGTCCCCCGGGTCCCGACTACGCAGGTCGCAGGCAGGTCAAGTTCAATTCAGTTCTCTTCTATCTGGTGACAATGAATCTGTAAAGAAAGGGTGATTTCTCAGATATATGTGCAGATGCTGGCACGCGAGACTATCTGTAAGAATCTTGCGCGAGACAGCATAGCACCACTCAGTCAGCATAACTGCCAACGGCATAATCAGTCACCTATGTGTTTAACAAATCTATGGGTTGACTAAATATGTCATTCAGATCACAAGGCCAGTTCTATTTCTGACTTAAAACGTCACGTTTAAATGGCATGGTGGTGGGAATCGTCGCATATAAATCTCACTACCATTCCACACATTTCACACAGTACGGGGCGGATAATTCCCCTTTGACATTTCCCAAATATCCAGAGCGAATTAGATGCCACAGCTCCTCACCGTTTTGTCTCTACGTTTTCTAGTGATAGCCGTTGAAGGCAGCCAGCAGCGGCGCCTGCAAACGCACAAAATCAGTGAAAGTCATGTTCACGACGACAGGGCACTACGAGAAAAGCGACAATGCAACGACACTTAACACAGTTACAGCGACAATGCAATAGCGTGCAATACGGTATGCTAAAAAGGGACACATAAAATTTTGCCAGTTTTCAAGTAACCAATGGAACTAAGCAACCAAGTAAACAAATGTATCCAGATGAGGTACCACGAACCTTCGAACCTAAGAACGATGGCTATAATTCGATGTAATCATGGCCATCCAAGGCGAATGTCTGGGATGCCTAAAATCCCTGATTCCATCTGATATTAGAGGACAGAAAAGGCGCACTTCACTAAATATCGCTTCTAAACCCCTTATCTCGTCTATCGGTTTCATCTTATCTTATTCTGCATTCCCTCTCCTTTCCGCCCCGTCTCACTCACCCTGTTCATGGCTCCGAACGAGGGCTGCGGGGAAGCCGCCTGCAGGTAGCCCAGGCTCGTGTCGCCGTTGTAGGTCATGTCCAGCGGACCGGGGCTGTTGGCCGGCCCGAACCCGCGGCTGTTAGCCGGACTGGCCGGCGGACCGTATCCTGGGTAGTTGTTGATCACTGCGGGCGGACAGAAGGGTCGGCTCAGGTCATGACACGTCACAGGTTAGATCAGACGTAGAGTCGGCGTGTGGTAAGTAATGTAGGTCCTCAATGAGCTGTTTATAATTTAACACGGGGTTGAAGACACATAAGCATGTAACAAAAATGACACGCAAACCACCCACCACTATTTTTCTTCACAGAAAACATCAACAGCCGCTCAACTTCTCCTCACAACACATAAACACCAAACTTCCGAGCTTCATAAATCCTCATTAACCTTACGACTCCATTACATAAGGAGTCTCCGCGCCCCTGTGTGGACTGAACTGTGAACATAAGCGTGCAATATGCTGTGTTCGTCTCTGTGCGCTGGACGGTGGGCTGCATGTGTGTACGTCTGTGTGTGCGTGTGCGGCGGGGGAAGGAGGGGGAGGGGAGGGGGAGGAGAGCCGTCACCTCTCCGACGGCGGCCAGCCCGGCGTGAGAATCTCGTCCGGCGCCGACCGTCGATCGATGACGCCGACCAACGACGCACGCCGGGGGAGATGGGAGACGGACGGACGGAAGACGGACTGACGGAGAGACGGGGAGACGGCAAACGCACGTCGGGAGAGACGGGAGACGGACGGAAGGGAGACGGACGTCACGAGAGACGGGGAGACGCGGAGACGAACGCCGGGGAGATGGTAGACGGACAGAAGGGAGACGGGAGACGGACTGACGGGGAGCCTTGCGGACGGGGGAGACGGGGAGACGCACGCCAGAAGAGGGGGGGGGGGGCAGACGTACGGGGGACGGCAGATGGACGGAAGAGGGAGATGGTAGACGGCCGACGGACGGACGGGGAGACGGGGAGATAGACGCCGAAAGAGACGGCAGACGTACGGGCGGAGAGACGTGCGGGAGACGGGGACAAGAGAAGACGCACGCCGGAGGAGGCCGCAGATGGACAGACGGGAGAGACGACGGACGGACGAATGGGAGACGGGAGACGAACGCCGGGGAGGCGACAGACGGACGACGGGGAGAAGAGAGAGGAGATTCCAAACTTACGGAAGGGAGACGGGAGAAGAGATGCACGCGGCGGGGGACACGCGGCCGGAAGGACGGACGGACGGATGGACAGACGGACGGACGAGAAGAAGGTGGGGTGCGGTATATGACGGGAGAGACGTCAAATGGATCGGAGACAAGGGGAGAAACATTGGGAAGGGTAGGACCGCGAATGCAGTGCGCCAGCGGAAGAAAGAAACTGAAAAGGGATGAGAGAGGCAGGAGTGTGGTGCACAAACCACACTATAGGAGAGTTGCCATGGTGGGCTATAAAGAGAGGAGGAGAAAAGGAAATTGTGCCGTGGTTGTGGTAAACATTGTCGTGTTACACTGAGAGAGAGAATAAAAAATAGTCTGCCCTTGTATGTTTATCCTTCATGTACTGAAGACAAACAACAACACTGCACTGGTACGCTCTAGTTATCTAACCAAATCATCTTTCAATATAAGTAGCTCATTGATCCATTTGATTAGTTGGTCTCATTGCCTCGGGTGCAACCCTAACCAGATGTCAGTCAGTCTTTCTGACTGACTGGTTGGCCCAATCACCCCCGGCTCGTTAGCCTAACTGGCTGGTTGTATGTCTGTCTGTACAGGGTGTCTCAAAAGTTCGCTTACAGGTACCAGCCATGTTTTTTTGTCAATAATTCTGAATCAACAAGAAATTAACAGTCGAAATTTTGCATGGGCATTAGTAACAACCTTCCTCAAGCAGCTTCATTGTTTTCAAGCGCATTCGACCCTTCATGAGCTCACAAAAAGGGTTCACCTCTGACCATGGATCAGGCATGAAAATGGAGGTCACATACTCGGGTCGGCTGAGAAACTCTCTGCTTCACGAGTAATGGGAATGGTTAGGTCGGAAATGACACATGGCAAAGTGTCGGCGAGGATGAGTACAACATGATGGTCATCTAATAAAAACGGTGGCTAAAATTTTTGAAGGACAAAACCATGCGAGACTAACAGCGCTTTGAACGACCCTTGTACCGCAGCAGACTCGTGCTCCGGAAAGCAGCTGGAAATGCAGTCCTAACTATTGAAAACTGACTAGAAGCTCACAGACAGAGGTTACCCAGTTTCAAAAATTGCAGGTCATCATAAGATAAAGACAAAATATCATTTAAAATTGTTTATAATATCTATAACGCTAAATTTTGAGGGAAAATAATGCGAAAATCGTCAATGCCGAGGACAAATGACCCTCCAAAAGTGTCAATTAAGGTAAAGTTTTATCTAACGAAGTTTCAAGAGGTAGATCTGGAGCAAATAGCTTTCTTTTACACACAAAATCCGGACAAAACCGCACGATGGACAGGTTTTGGCCGTTTACAAAGCAGAACCTCTCCTGAGGAAAACACTCCGGAACCCAGCGAAGGTCTTGGCATTGGGAATGACGAGCGTTCGGGATTTGCAAAATTTGCAAAATGTGTCTAAGAAACAGATGGCCGACACATTCTGCTACGATATGCTGCGAAAAATTTGCCCCTGGCACTTCCCATTTGTTCAGGAATGGGATTGTTTTGAAAAGGAAAATGGTGCTTGGGAAGTCGGCGCCAGTCATTCATGAAGGAGTTAGCGCCAGAGAAGACCTACAAAATACTCACGGATGGTGTCGATGCAAGATGTCGGCTTTCAGGGAGAAGCGGATGTTGCCGGGGAGCTCGTCAAACCTAAATCCGACGCAGAAACTGCAGGGGATTCCCCTACAAGAGCTTGAAAGCTGGTAACCTTTTATCAGCCTCCGGCAGCTGACGGAGTGACGAAAATCGGTATGGGCAAATATTTTTGGAGATACAGAAAAAGGTTTGGCTTCCAACCTTCCGAATCAGTTGTCAAAGCATGCATATTTGCCTAGTGTACACACGGACACCAAAACCTTAGATTTTTTGCCGGTTCTTATATGCTTTATTGACATGGGAAATGTGTAAGCGAACTTTTGAGACACCCTGTATGTCTGTATGCCTGGCTGGCTGGCTGGCGACCCCCCTGGCCCGGCCGGCCGGGCTGGCGGCCGACTGAACACAATCAGTGTCGCCGGCCCGTCGCCATCCATCGCACACCGTCTCCGTCGCTGGCGACGCTAATGAAATCACCGACGATCGGTAGCGGCGCGGCGCCGGCGCCCTCCCTCCGTCCCTCCACCCGCAGCGGTCCTCCTCAACTGGACACAACATCGTCCATCGGGCCGGCCCGCGCATCACTCATCCCGGAGCGCAGCGCATCAGTCTTCCAGGAGTAGGCAACCGACACGGCTCAGTCTCGCTCTCAGGGTACCGAATGGCCTCCTCTTAGCACGGCCGGGATCGATCATCGGGACGAGCCCCGGCTCCCGCTCCCTCCCGCAGTATTCAGACGGTCACTCATTTTACATTTTCCGACCTGGCCTGAGTGGCCACTGACATCAGACGGCATTGGTCAGGCGCTCGACTAGTGTCGAGTGCGGCGGCGCCGGACCGCGTCTCACGGCGACTCGGAGCCGCGCACAAAAGCGACTCGTCAGCGTGCTCTCGTCGCTCGCCGCGCGGAACTGATTGAATGAGCACTAAAAGTCAGCCGAGCCACAAACACTCGGCAGGGCCTTTCATCAGCAGACCGCCAAACACTCCTCAGCTCGGCCAGAATAAAGTAATACGGCGCGTTAAGCGCCGAAGGTCGATACCTCGTTCGAAGCTGTTTGGCCGCCGATGAAAGAGTGCAGCGTCGCCGATAAAAACAAGGTATCAGTGCGGGCGCGGGCCCGATCTCCGGCAGTCATCAATTCCGTCCAGCCGTACAAAACAATCACCCGGCTCCGGGCGATAGGCGGCTCCTTCTCCCGGGCAGCCGCCCATACCGGCCCGGGTATTGGCGAAAATAGACGCTTTTGTTTGCAGAAGTACCGAGAAAGAATGACTCGGCGCTGCCCCGCGTTATCCGGTGATCAGGAGGCAAACGGAAATGAGCGCCGAGAGTGAGGGAGTATAATGAAGTGGGCGAGGTTATAGTCGAATCTGCACTCAAATAAATTGTATGATGTGAAGTGCGTGATCAATATGTAAAATCGACATCAATTGCCTCGGGTCAGGAGGAGAAAAAAAAAACTAGAAATTACCATCAGATTTATCGTGAATCAGTTACACTTCAATACACAGACTCCCCAAACGCAGAGATTGAACGTTAAACGCTCTCCCGGCAGAGTTCCATTTATTTTATGAGCTCTGCACCTCGGCCTGTCGTCGGATGGTTCCCTGAGGGGCCGCGGCGGCCGGCGGCATTACATATTCATTACCACTTACACGCAGCTCTGACAGACAGATCACCGTGTCATGTCCGTTATGACAACGCCCCGCGCCGCAGCGTCACACGCTGGGTAATAACCATAGATGAACAGGCATACTTTATGTCGCGATCGTCAGTAGCCCCGGATCAAATCCAGCCAGAGGCGGATTTTTTTCCGTTCTCACCGGATAGTGCCTGCGTCAGCAGCGGTCCAGAGCCGTTCGCCATGCCACCGTTCATCAGATCTGAAACAGAGGCGGGCGGCGCGGCGTCAGCCGGCGATCGGGCCGTCACCGTGACGTGACCCGCGTGCTGAGCGTCATCGGCGTCATCGGTCCGCCCGCCGTCACAGGCAGCGTAATGGGCACGGCGCCGGCGAGAGGCCATTTTTCACGGCGCGGGGCGGTGCTGCGCCGGCCGGCGGGTCATGGCCCGCCCCTCCCGACCCGTTCCCCGCTGCTCTGGGGGACGGGGCCGTCCCGGGCCGTTCCGACATCGGGCTCTCGTCCATCGCTGGCGCTCATCCGCCCGTGTTGACACGGCGCCGCTGCATTGAAAATAAACGTCTCTGCTCGGCGTCGGGCCGAGTTGAACTAAACTGGCGACAGCGGCGCATAAAGCTGTCGCAGAAAACAAAGAGCAGGATGAGCTCTGACGTTGATGGACATTTTATCACTGCCGAGAGTGCGCCCTCCAGTCCCTCCGAGCATTATCCAGTCAAAGGCGCGTTCAGTATGCAAATACGAATGAAAATGTAAAACCCGGTGAGCATCGGGTAACAATTCTATATGCATTTAGTCCGTTGTTTTGAACGTAAGAGCGACTGCATGGAAAATATGAAGCAGTCTGCGAAATCAAAAACGACGCAGAACAAAAGGGAACTTAAATCACAGAACCGGATATGAAAAGATCGAAATGCGACGCACACCTTACGCTTCGCATTTCCAGGCCCTCAGTCAAGATCAAAATACAAACAGCGCAAAATCATAAGATCTCGCCCGGCCCCATTTCGATAAATCGCGGTCCTTGGGGAGGAGCCGGACCAATATTCGGGTGGCGTGCCGATACAAACGGTGGACATTTGGCGCCGCCGGTCGGCGGGGGCGAGGCTCGGCGCGTGTTTTCGACATCTCTCAGCCACATCCAATAACGCCGTCCAGGCAGCGGCGGCCGCCGGGAAAATGTCCCTGGGAGATACGGCCGGACGGAGGCCAGCCCGCGCCGCCGCTGTCCCTGTCACTCCGCCACCGACACGATGCAAACGGGCCGGAAAATTAAACGCGGCTCTATTGACCGGCGATTAAAGGAGACAGTATCTCATGTCCGGAGGACGGACATGGCCAGATGTGGAGATATTTCGGGGAACACGGCGCCGTCAGGCTGCTGAACCGTTTGATGGGCGACAGACGGCGACGGACGGCGATGGGAAAATTTGATAGATCCATATGCTTTGCTGCACCTTTTGTGGAAATGAGTAGCACCTTGTGCTGCCTGCCATCTAAGCCACGACAATTCGGAGTACAAATAATCGTCACCAAGAAAATCACATTTGCCACTACAATTATCCAAAACACATACCCAGTTCTGAGTCTTATAAAACAAATAATTTCAAAGAGGGAGGCAAATTAACCCTCGCACGACCAGGCCATTTCTCATAACACGAACGACCAGGGGGGGGGGTTGTTACGACCCCCCCCCTGGCGTTTCGAAACGGAAGGTCGTAGAGCTTAGCGGAAAAAACCAACGGATTGCTCTCAACGAGATCTCGCGATTGGTGGTATATTTTTTGGTACTAGGTCAACATTTGACCTACTTTTGACCGGTCAAAGGTCAAATTTTCGGAAAAATAGGCTTTTTTCAACTTTCCGCGGCGATTGCGGCAAAACGGTGGGAGATATCGACTTGAAACCTTCACTATCGTGTTCCTTGATCAATTCTCTATCGTTTGGTATGTATTTCGTTTCCCTAGCTCTAAAAATGGCGCGTTGGGAGCGCCGGAAGTCGGCAAGGTCACAGTCGGCGGCAGAAATTCGAAAAATCAAAATTTAAATTTTTGAAATCTGATTGTATTTTTGGATTTGGAAGGTCCATTTGCTCCGTATAGAAGCTAATATTGCTGCATATTCCCATTGAGGTGACAAGAATTAGCAAAATAGTGGTTCGGGCGCTTTTCAAAAATAGTACCGGACGCTGTTCCTCTTATGACGTCATAACTCCGTGACCTGACCTGACCCGGTCAATTTTCTTGCACCACACGATAGCCAATGCTTGCCCCAACATGCATGGGAAGTTTCATCATGATCCATCAAACAATGTGGGTATCACCGGCAGAAAACCTAGGGATTCGGCGCACACGTTTGGTAACTGTCGGCCGGAGGCTGTACCTCTTATGACGTCATAACTCCGTGACCTGACATGACCCGATCAATTTTTTTCGGCAAAAGATGCGCAAAGGTTGCCCCAGAGGGTATTGAAAATTTCAGCCCGCTACGACAAGCCGTTTAGCGTGCACTTCGAAAAAACCTCAGGGGGGGGGGTGATACAACCCCCCCCCCCCTAGGCGTTCTAGGGTTAAAACACCGCGGGTCCTCCGCACGGCTCAGGCCGCGCGGCAAGGCAGACCAGACCCCGTTTAGCGGCAGACCACATTTGGCGGCAGTGGACCAGACCCGTCGGCACTGGACCAGACCCGTCGGCAGTGGACCAGATCCAGTGGAGGCAGGCGGTGGCGATCCAGCTAATTACCCAGCAATCCTGCCAATTTGGCGGCCGGCAGCTTTTGATCGGGTGTGCCGCGGTCGGGCGCGATGGTCAGAGGCCCAGCCGGTGTCTGAGATAGAGGGAGCGGAAATGAGAAACGTGAAATCGCCACGGGGCTCCAAAGTTCCGGCTACCCCGGCCCTGATGGATTGGGTTTGTGTTTGGAGCGCACGGTTGCATGAGTACGAAGTTGAAGCCCAGATCGCCCTCGATTTCCAGCTGGGTCCCGTTGAATCGCAGCCATTCCGCTCGAGCACTGCAGGCCCAAGTTTTCATCTTCGACCAAATGTGACTGCAATCCATCAGCTCAGAATACCGAAGACGGCGCAATTCATCAGTTCGGATCACCACCGTCAGCTGCCGCTCGTCAGTTCGGCCGCCACGCCGGTCGCCGACGTCGCCGCCGCTCGGGGCGCCATTTGGTCTCGGAGGGCGTTTAATTCTCGCCACAGATGGGTTTTATTTGTCCGACAGAGGCCGTCCGATATGAGCCGTCGCAGTCAGACGGGCCTTCATACTGTCGTTTTAACTGCACTCGGAAACGGTCGGCCCGCTGAGCCGGGCCGGGCGGGGCGGGGCGGGGCGGGGCGGGCCGGATCAGCTCGAGGCGGGTCGCTAGGGTCGCCGGAAGCCCTCCCCTCGGCAGCGGCGCATCCACTCCATCCGCGAAGAGCCGGCAGCGTCGGATCAGCTCCGCCGAAACGGGCGCACACTTGGCCAAGTATCACCGCCGCCGCCGTTCAGAATGAATCTCCCGGACGCTGAGCGCTCCTCAATGGGCCAAAGTTTAATTCTCTATCGAGCATGTGACGATGAAAAGCGGCGGCCGAGCCGGCGGTGACTACAAATGACTGAAATTACCGGCAGTGACTAAGCCTCCGCTCTGATGGGAGCAGCACTGCGCACCTATCAGCAGTAACTGAGCCGCAGCGTCGGATATTCAGCGTCTAGTAACGGCCTGCTCGTCGTCGCCAAGCGAGGTAGGACTTAATCGCGCCGTGAAATGTCACACAGATGGACATAGCGCAGGAGGAAACGTGCTCAAACGGTCAGTGAACTCAACTTTCAGCCGATAACGGAGTCCTCACACGCAAAAAGCCTAGCACTGCCATCACCCCAACGAAGCACCATGTAACCGTCAGGCCGTGACCCTGGCTGACTTGCAGTGCCGTAGGCGTGGGTGTCACCAGTTCGTGACCTGGGGCGGTTTGTCGAACGCCCACCAGGTGACCGTGGGATCACGCCATAGCCGGCCAGGGCGACACCAACTGGCAACTATGTTATTCTTTACAGTCAGCACGGTCAGGATAGTTTTCCTGAGCACCAAACAGTAATCTAGCTACTCTCGTGTGGACGTGCACTACTTGAATGATCAATGAAGGTGTCTGCAGCGAGATTAAATACTGTCGGTCACTTAAGTTTGTAGACCTCCATGTGGCTCAATAGATACTGACCGCATATGACAAGTCCTCACTGTTATCGTGAAGGTCAATGTCGCCATAGAAATTCACTGCTGTCACAGCCTTTAACAGAGACTTCCTCCACAGCTCAATTTCGTGACACTTTCCAACTTTTCTTATCGTGTTGTCATAGAACGGATGTTCAGGAACAGTAAATTATGCTTTGAATGAAACGGAATGTCATTAAGTACTGCTGATTATATGCAACGGAGGGACGTCAATTGTTGCAAAAACGGTCAAATTTGGTACAAGCTACATAATAAGGCACCGCCATGAGCCCATTACATTTAATGGTGAACAATTTTCCACAAATTGGCATGTGTTACCTGCCAAAGTTCGCAACAGTCCCTTTCATTAAAACCCCAGCCCATCTGCGGTTCATCGGACCACCGCAATAACGGCCACCCGCTGCAGTAGGCGCTCCAATCAAACGTGCACCGTCCGGGCCCGCGTGCCACGTGCCGCGCGCCGTCACGACACGTGGCGTCGGTGCACGCGGACCCGTGCACGTGCGCTCATTGCGGCCGGTGCGTGTCGAGAGTTGCGCGGTGCAGGACGGTTGACAAATGTCTCATCACGCTGAGAGCCGTCCCAGGTCCTGCCACTAACAGCTGTGTGGTCTCCGGGCGTGACGAAAGGATTACAACTCTGGAGGCCGGTGACACCGGCGGGTCAGGTCAAGGTCAGATCGAGTGCCGACACGAGTGCCAATATGACCACATTTCTAGTTTACAGTATTTTCGACAGTGTGATGCCATCAACCGTTAATTTCTTATCTCTAAGTAGAAGGTAAACAAACAAAAAGCCTCAATTTGCTAGCATCCGGTAGATTCGTGCAGATAACTACCTGCACCAGAAGTTTTCAAATTCACGTAACTCATGAACTTATGGATATTAAACTTGTCATGATAAACTAAATCTAAAACACGATAGATTGGTCGGATCGTGCGTTGTCGAATACTGGTGAGCTCACACTGATGCGTCCCTTTGAGAAACATCCTCAAGATAAAATGAGCCCACAGACAGTGCGCGGCTCTGGACAAAGAAAACCATCGCGCATAAACGGGAAGCCGCCTTTGGAGGCCGACAACAACAATTGGTTGACGGCCAACTCAGTTGTCTCGACGGACTCAACGATTCGCTGCAAACCGCCAGCGTTACGCCGACGAGCCGGCAAGACATCCACATCGAGGAAAAACAGCCATCGTTCAGAAAAGCTTATCTTTCCATTATGTGGGATTCCATTATGTGGGCACCGGCACGTGTATGGATAAAGTGCCTAAAACCTGTGACGTGGTCGAAACTGAAAGTTGTGAATCTAGAAATTTAAAACCAAATCCCTATGCATAGTATTATTTATTACAACACAGCAAGAAGGCAGGAACGACGAAGTACCTGCACTTGAGTTGGTATGAAAGGAGGTCAATACAAGTTTAGGCCTATGGCAAAGCACAAATGTCGATGTTACCACTACTGATTGATCAAAAACCTTTCACCTTAACCCTCGCCAGCCGAGGGGGGGGGGGCGGGTGCCGCCCTCCATAGGGTTTTTTCGCGATAGCTCCGAACACGCGGGCGATAGAGAGCTGAAACTTGGCATACCTGACCTTTGATCCAAGCCGGATCTTTTGACACCAACCGCACTTTTGGGTCAGGTCAGGTCACTGACCTATGACGTCATAAGTGAACCTCTGCACGGTGTTCAGATGTCGCAACTTCGCAACGCCCTCACTGCCAGAGGAGATGTCACAGGGAAATGAAACTTGCAGGATCTAGTATCCATTATGATTCCCACAACTTGTATATCTCGGATTTTTCCTAAAGGTCATATGAGGTCAGGTAATTTTCGTGACCTCACCATTATAAGTCAATGGGGGAAAAATGAAAACTGCTATTCTGGCGCCGGGAACGATCTCCAACTATCTCAAGCACACAGAATCGTGATTTGATGCACTCCTTGCAAGGTTAGATGCGTCATTTTTGCAATGTTGACCTTGCGTGACGTCATTTATGACGTCATCAAGGTCATATTAGTTTTTCGTCAATAACTCTTGATCAAATTGAGCTAGCGAGTCGGGAAAGCCACCAATGGACTCAGGAAGGCCTGCCGAATCGAGTGATATGCGACATGACCTCTTTCGACCAACTTCGTGACCTGGGGGTGCTGACCTGACCTTGACCTGAGGTCAACACCCCAAGTTGACCTGACCCGGACAAAAAGTATATCATTCGACGCGCCTGAGCGAGACGAACACGATGCTGCCAAAATCGGCGCTCTGCGGCCGTTTGTTGCGAAGTTATTCACCAAAAACTGAACCGTACCTTGGGGCACTTGACCTGACCTCAGAGGTCACCGGTTGACCTAGGACCTTAAAATCGGGTACCAATCTCTGCGTCTCGTAACGGCGCACACGCTCGTTTTTTCCGGGACGCGCTAGCTCCACCAGGGGCGAAACGGCGAGGGGGGGGTCGTACCCGCCCCCCCTCGGCCGGCGCGTATGTAGAAAACCAATAGGTCCGGCGAGGGTTAACATTACTTAAAGTTCAACGCCAAAGGAAGGTGATTGGTTCCAACTCGCAGACACATTCAGGTGCAATATCTATGAACAATTAAACAAGCCAAAGAGCCCAGACTTAACTGCGTATTGATTTAGAATTAAACCTAATTAGACGGTTTGTAATTATCCCTACGGAATGAGCAGCTTATTGAGTCGGTCATGCCCTCGGACGGCTGCCATAATTGCCGCAAAGAATGGCTGCGTCAGGGCGTCGACAGACAGTTTGGATAGAAATTGCGCCCGCCGCGGTGCAGAGCTAGATTCTCGTGGGCGATTTATTGAGCCATCAGTGAGTGGCCGAGTGGACACTCCGGCGGCCGATACCGCCGCCGGCGGGATGCGTTAGGGACCCGCACTCGGCCCTATATCATTATAATGGCGACCAAGTGAAAGCCAATCAGGTTTCGCAGTGGCTCAGCCAGGGACGAGCTGTATCATTCTATAGCCTAGCGTCGGTCGTTTCGCTGTATATCTCGATTAATGTTAAACCAATAATTATACCCACGAACGGACAATGCGCTGATAATGTCCTCAATAAATGAACGGAAACCCGTTCATCATTTCGGTGTGAATAAGCACCTATTTCTGGAAATTCCATGCAAAGTATGTATGTACAATAACACTTTTAAATAACCTCTTCAACAAATCAACTCAGGAAATACTAACAAAACAGCGCAGCAACGCCGGGTAGCTCTGGATCCCGCAAGATCTTCGCGGCCTGGAAGGTAGACTGTGCCGCACGCTCAGGTGCAATGCGGTACAGCCTATCTAACGTCAAAACAGAGGATGCTCTATCTGAATGAGGAGAGGAAGTGTTGGGGAGTGTTGTTCTATCAAGCTTCCAGCGGTTTTCCTCTTCAAGCCAATAGTCTAGTTTGGTCGTTGAATGAAATAAGAATCCCAGCTTACATGCCTGTAGCTATAACAACCCGTTCAAGTGTTCAGGTGAGTCGTATAGACCGTGCCCTGTCCGCGTGGCGTACGGTTTGTTTGCTCTCCTGCCCCTTCCCGTACGGTTCGTTCTCCTCTCTTCGTGCCGTCCGGCTGTGCGCTTCCCTGTCCATTCTACGGTACGGATTGGTCGCTCTCCGGTCCATTCCTGCAGTGCTGGTAGCCTGATCACCCGTTCGCGTGTCATACGGGTTGTTCCCTCTCCCATTTCCACCCAGTACGGGTTGCCCGCTCACCTGTCCGCGTGCCGTACGGATTGTGCTCTCACCCAAGGCCCCTCTCACCTGTCCGCGTGCCGTACGGATTGTCCCGGTGCAGCGGCGACTGGCTGACGTGGTTCTCGGTGCGGCTCGGAGTGCTCAGGCTGACGGGTCCGGCGGCCGGCACCGCACCTGCCGAGTACTCCTGGTAGTAGGTGGTGCCGTTGGCCCGCTCCGAGCTGCCGTTCGACGCCAGCGCCGCCCCCGCCGGAGACGGGAAGTAGCCGTACGATGTGAAACCGGCTGTCGGGGGAGGGGTGGGTCAGCGGGGAGGGGTCGGCGGGAGGGGCGGGACAGCGGGGGGGGGAGGGTCAGTGGGGAGAGATCAGCGGGGGAGGGGTCGGTGGGGACGGGTCAGTGGGGAGGGGTCAGCGGGGGGGACAGGGTCGGTGGTGGGGAGGAGCAGGCCACCGGGGGAGAAAGGCAGGTAAGCGAGAGTGGGTATACTCCCAAGGGAATATAATGAGATCCCAGTGTACAGCCGAGCAAAGGATCCAACTTTGCGGTGGAAGTACATAACTGCACCAGCGAAAGCTGAAGAGCCGAATGCCACACCGAAGTATGTCTGATTGATGGAAACCAGAAGCAAGTAGATATGTACATACATAGTTTGGCGTGACTGAGGCACGTCTTGTGTTGAAAGATACGTGAAGGGAAATTTAAGCAGACTTTACTGTAGGTAAAGCTGAGCAAGCGGCAATGTTTTGCACCGCCAGAGATTGCGTCTGTTGTCAGTGAGTTCGTACGTTCATGTTGTTAGCTATGCTCGCCTGGGTAGCCTAGTCCCCTCACACAACGTCGAAGAAATCGACCCGACTTTATTTTTCATTAACACTTAGTGCGCCACAGCTGCTCTATGAGTTGTCTTATTCTATAACGAAGCATAACAAAACTAGACCAGCCTGTAGACATTCGGAAACGAAGCCCAGCATGTAAGGACGGGACGGGCAACAACAATGGTAACACCTCTTAAATCAGCGCTGTAGAATCCTAAGAGCTGGACAACGCGTCTTTGTGCCGCTCTTCTAACTGCTCTAACTCTTTGCAATCGAATCAAACGGATTCTAGAAAAGTAGTTCTTTCAAGCAAGCTGTAGTAGCCCTAGAACAAATAGCCTAACTTCTAAGACTAGGGTTGGTAATTCCAGTACAAGCGCAGCAGCATATCCGGAACAAACTAAGCCCACTTGGACTCAATTCTAGTAAATACAAACTTCTATGCCGAGGTGCAGTGCCCCATAGGGCGACCTGCTGCGTTTCTAAGACAAAATGCAGTGCTTCTAAGTGACCGCAACACCTCTAAGGCGGCTTGCGAACATATAGGGCGATTTGCAGCACTCTAGGACGAACTGCAACACCTCTAGAACGAACTAGTTTGTCTCTAAGACTCATTACTAAGACGTAGTTATTAGAGTGACCGAGCTTACCGGCCGGGCAGGCGGCATAGGTGGGCCTGACGGCGGCTGGGACCAGGGCGGGGGGACGCGCCCCTGTGGGGACTGGCGAGCGGCCCGGCGCCGCCACCAGCAGGCCTGCAGGCACACCACCGTCTCAGCCGGGTGGTGGATAGGGGCAGAGAGGCAGAGAGCGGACACGGGGGCCAGGAGTTGATCTAGTTCCCTGGCCAGTGCTACAGATCCGTGTCGAGATGTAAAGGCTTGGCATGTTTTGAGGGCCAGGAGATTCAATACAAGCGGCTGCTTCAAATACTCTCAATTTATCTCTCTTTTTTAATGCGCATATCGTTTTCCTGCCTGAAACTAAATACGCACCAAAATTAATCGTACCTAAACGCAACTTCATCTACAACCAATAGTTTTACATAAGGTTGTTATAGCCTAACGAATATTCCTTGAAAAATAATTCATGGAGGCTTGTGTAGTCAGAACTTCCGAAGAGAACTTCCGGCTTCTGGAGCGAATCAATGCGAGCAGGAAGAAAAACGCTAATGAACAACAAGCCCTACACACATCTTACGAGAATTCGAGCACCGAATGTCGTCACTTCTATATCGCAGCTGAAGTTCAATATGCAACAGGCTTATCCCGACTGTCTAAAGCTCGTCACCACCTTCACAAAGGTCATCGGCGGAGATCTTTAGGTGCGGAAAAGTCGAGCAACGACGGAAGCAATCCATAGTTGATCCCCTTACCTGCCAATCTCAGAAGAAAATAGCATCAAATAAGAAAGCTTCTCATGTCATCCATACACATGACTTTGACGAACAAATTAACGGGGAATACACCAGTTTTCAGAATGCATGAAACAGTAAAGAAGAGTAGAGGACTATGCCCATGTAGAGAAGAGTGTTTTATCACAGGCGACGTAGTCGCCCGTCTGGCCCATATTCCGTTAGAATGCAATGCGTTTACAACAGTTTTTAGCAGCTTGATGAAGTGTATTTTCTCTTGAAGCCCACATAAATTAAAACGGCGATTCGTGATGTCTTATCTTCGCCACAAGAGCATAAAAAACATGGCACAGGGCAAGGTATGCATACACACTGAAGCAAAGAAGACGGTGCAAAGAAAATATACAAAAGATGCAGTGCCACATACCAGAAAAAAGAGCGTTAGTGCACGAAATAATGAGACAAAAAGAAACAACAGAAATAGCAGCGCACACCAAAGCAAAGACGCAGGCAACAAAAAGTGAATGAACACACAAAACAGGATTTATTTCATTCTCCGCACATAAAGGCGACACAGAAGTGCACAATCCAGCAGGGGAAACCCAGCATCGACTATTTACATTGTTAAAATTCCGGCCATGCAGTTTATTAGGCACATCCGTGATCAATACCCGTGCGTTTACGTCACTACCGAGGTGTTACGATCGTGGCTGAATAAAACAAACATACGCGGCATAAATGATGGCTACCTTTGTACACGTACAATTAAAACGCACCACTCAGCGGCGCATTGCGAAACGGATCGCGTTTTGGCTCACAACATCAAAGCCCAGGAGAAAACATTCACCAGGCCCTAGACTACTGGCCTAGGGGATAAAATCATTGCGATCGAGCAATGAAAGGAAAGACTTTGAAAGTCCAGAACTTCGGGGCGCCCACACCCGGTCTCCCATACGTTGTCATCCACATCACAGACAGGAACGCCAGTGCTCCCCAGTCCATCTCTGATGGTTCGATAGCCTCTTCGCCCCAGCACCGTGGGTTGTGCACCCGCACATCTCGACACGGAGGCCAGACAAGAGGTGAAAGATCCAGGCGCGTGAAAGACGGACAGCTCCGATCCGGTAACCCGGTTGTCCCCTAGTGCGTGGCGTCCCACAAACGCATAGTCGACACGGGTCTGAGCATTGGCGTACTCCGCGAGCTCATTTGGTGGGGATGGTCTTGGGGCAATGAAGTGACCAAACGAAGTTGCCAACTAGCCCGTTAGAGAAACGCGATGTCGTTCCAGCATCACCACTCAGATAACCTAGAGGAAAACGGCAAGGTCAGTCACAAACATCCAAAAACGCAATGCCTTTTGATCGTAAATAAAGTGGATGCAACTTGAAGCGACGTACCTACTGTTTGCTGGAAGGCTTGAACTGTATAGAAAACTTACATGCCAAAATATCGTAATAGAATTAGCGACATCATAGACACTATAAAGCAATTAAGACGAATGAACCTTTTTACTAAATAGTCCGCCATTCATGAACAGACAACTTAGAGTAGTAACCTCAACAGGGACAACAAGATACTGAATTTCCTACATCAAAGAAGCCATGTTCTTCGGGAAGCCAGACGATTCGTAGGTTATCATAATAAAGCTTTCACCCAACAGGCATCTTCAAGTCTACCATCCGATCAAAAGACCTAGGTCAACAATCACCCATGACGGCAGAGGTCAACTACGGAACAAACTCGCCGAGGAAAATCGACTACCAGAAAGTGAAGAGCGGCTGAAAAAGCCTCTTCTACAGGAAAAAAGACACCCAACACCCAGCACCAAAGTACGAGGAATAAAAGTCGCCTGCGAGAAATGAGCGCCCATGACCACAGACAAACCATTCTACGCAACTGGAAGAGATCTACAGAACTGGTAGAGCCACCGAGAGTCGGGCTACTAGGACGATAATCGAACAGCAGATTCTCGCAGATGGAGATAGATCTGGTTGAAAAAAGTCAGCGTAGACTACAGGAGCTGGTTGGTCTATGCAGTTCGTTTGGAGCCTATAACATAGGAGCAGGATGATAAAGAAACACTTCTTCGTCTGTGATGGCCAGTTGTGCGTGATCTGAGCGTACACAATAAAAAGCACAGATCCTATCACACATTTAAAATGCAGCAAAAGTTATTGGGAAGGCAAAGGCACATCTGCATCTGTGCTACAAAATCAACAAATGTAAGTACTGAATGTACTGCGAGCTCCAGAAGGGCGTTACTCATTCGGTACAACGCTACAAGTAAGAGCAAATGACGCAGTCTAAGAGAGGCGACAGCTACAGGATGCACTCCGTTGTGACTCGGCAGAAGGGAGCACTTACCGTAAGGGAAGCCGAAGCCCGGGTAACTGGAGTAGCCGCGACCAGCGTAAGCCGCGTACGCAGCCGCCGCCTGGAAGCCTGCGACAAACCAGATCGAATTCAGGTCAAATTCAGGTCATATGTTGGTACAAAGCAAGGGCGGCAAGTGACGCAAACAGCGGAAAATAAGTTTGAAGATTATTTCATCAAACGATTGACAATTAAAGAGCACCGTAATTCATTTATTTTGATGACCTGTAACCAAGTGTGAAACATTACTCGTAGGTAATCATTTAAAAACTGACTCCCAATAATGGTGGCAACAACATTATGTTGCTGAATTCCAAAAGCGTAGAATAAAGCTTCGCAAGTTGGGTGGAAAACTCATGATACGACATGGTACAACTCGATAAAAGGGTCAACTACTTGCAGGCGAATATAGCATGCAGGCAGGTTGGTTGCGACGGAAAAATGGCTGGGTAACGTTCAAAGAATAAAGATGTAACATAAAATGTTGCGATGCACGGCATCACTAAATAAGAGCAATCGCTTCTAAATTTGCTTCTACTGGATGTTTCTCAGAGGGGATTCCGGGATATGCATTTAGGTAAATGTAAAAAAGCAGTATATTGAAAACTGTTTGCATGACTTCATACTAGATACTGCATCACAGCTTTTTGTACTGACATTCGTAGAGAACAAAAGAAAACCAATCAAAATATAACAAATCGGTCCAGTTTGCTGGATAAACAAGAAAGTTATCAATGCAATCGCTTTGAACATTAAATTTCATTGCGTTTAACGTAACATCTGCTAATTTTCATCTACCCGCCTTCTGGGGAAACATTTTCGTGCCAGAAAACAAAAAATGGTCGCAGGCTCACCTAATCAAAATAATGTAAGGAACTAATGTTCGCAATATACAGCATTCTATCATGGGAAACGGACAGTGGTCTAGCAGATGCATGGGTTGGCTGGCACGGCATACGCACCATTTTGCAGCACCCCAGTGACCACACTCTCTGTGAATGGGGATGTGCGATTCGAACGTTACATTCAATCCCACTAAACTTACGTAGGTAAGTGAGTAAGTATATGTTGGTAAGCGGCATTTCTAAAGTCGTACATTTTAGCGCTTGTCTATTGCAGTTTTGTCACCAATAACGTACATATTTTAACAGAGGCTAACATAACTTTGCAACCACCACCGCAAACTAAAAGATATAATGCCCACTTTGAAGCATGTGATACGCCCTCAAATATGAGAACTGACCGTATCTCACACCCATCGTCTCTATCGCCATCATTTTAAACTGTGGACAGCCAATCCAGGGAATTTTGTGCGGCGATTTATCAGCTGCGAGCGCCTTTTGGGCGTATGACGTCACTACCACGCACGAACAAGGATGATCCTTTAGTACGTAGCAAAACAGGCCGGAAAAGACGTAATGAACGACCACCAGTCAGCCTCAGCGTCTCTGCACTATTGATGGGAGGAAGCAGGGGCACGGAACCGATTCTTTTTAGGGTAAACTGGTGCTGATAATCACATTTACTTTATAAGGATACAAAATAAATCAAGTATTAATTGCAGCGAAGTTAATTTAGCAAAGCCCACGGAGTAGGTTGACAGTTTATCATTTGTTAGGTGCACACATGGAAGATATGGTATTTTCCTGTCGTGGCAACAGCAAAAGCACATTGTATCAGCATGCCCCTCGTCGTTGCGAGTTCGAATGGGTTACAGTAAAAGTTACGAAGTGCTATTTGGCGCGCTTTATATTTATGTATCAAGGCATTATGTATGCACTTTGCTCCACCAATGGCCAGTCTCATCATAATACACTACATAGGACACAATAGGTTCGTGTGAAATGTGGGATATCTACCCCCTAGTCAAACCCGCGGACCGCTAGGCGGCGTGTTCGAAGTCGGACCCCGTCACATCCGCACCCAGCAGCAACAGGGCGCCGGCCATCCCGCGGGCAACTGCAATCTCGGTACACCGTCGGCAATGCTGCGAGTTATTGGCCACATAAATAGGGCGGCCGAGTGGTGCAGCGTCGTCCCGCGCTGCTGCGGCCCCATCAGGCGTGATTTACAGACAGCAGACAACGGCTAGACAAGCTCGGAAACATACACGGTCGGACGGGGAGGGGGCGGGAGGGGGAGGTGACAGAAAACACCAGCTATGTGACCCGCCGCACCGCGCCGGTCTATGGGCGACACTCAGACACACCAAGCGTCAGCTGCACAGCACACTGATTGCAGATAGTTACAGTTTGGGCACAGAGCTGAGGACAGTTTGAGTTGTGAGGACAGAAGTGTGAGGCCCTCCTGGCCGGTGATATGGGGTTGGAGGGATGTCTAATGTGGGCTGATTAGTCTAAATAACTCACCGTAGCCGCCACGAGGCGCCGTACGACCCCTCGCCAGGGTCTGCGGAAGCATCACCTCCTTCGGCTGCGCCTTTTTACACTCCACCTGAAGAACAGTGGACGAGTGTCAAAAATCAGAAAATAAATAAATCAACAGAAAGAGAAGGATTCAAGAAGAAAAAATAAAATCAACAAAAATTCATAAACGGTTTTCAAGTGACTGAGGAATATTGCATTGTCAACTACACCAAATGTTAATCGCCACAAATTAGCATGATTGCCACAAATTTGCATCGGTCGTATCCCAGCACACAGCAGCCGCAGACGCGCGCGCTCCCACCAGTTCCACCCAGCCCGGCGCGCGGCTTTCCTCCGTAATCCCATCTCTCTGGGTGTGACGGCGCATATCCATCAGCAGATGGACCGCGACTATTGTGGCGAGCGGTGCGGGATCGCGCGTCGGCCGCGCTGCTGACTCGGCCGTTCTCCGGGCGTACACAATGGGGAGCGCCGGCCGCGCTGCTGAGCCAGCACATTGCAGAGTATTGTCGTGCGCAGCGCGCCGCGCCGAGTCGGGTAGAGCGGTCTCCCTCCTCTGCCCTCTTACCTCCTCTCTCCCCGATTCACCTCCCTCTGGCATCCCTCCTCCGTCCTCCCTCCGTTCCTAACTCTTCATCTCCCTGCGTTCCTTTCCTTTCGCTGTCCCTTTCTCCTATCCACCCAATCCTCCTCAGTTTCACTTGTTTCTCCACGACCTCACTCCCGTCTTCCATCCACTCTTCCCCACTCTCACCTATCCCACCTTCCCCACTCTCACCTATCCCACCTTCCACTTCCACCGTCTTCTTACTCTTATACTTATCCCCCTCCCCACCTACTACACCTATCAGACACGCCCGCAGTCAGACCGAGAGGAACGCTCAGGAGGCGAGCTCCCGCCGCAGGATTCGCCGCTCGAACTACTGATGGCGATTTGAAGGCTCCCCGGGGCCCACTTGGGTAGGCGGGAAGTCAGCAGTGCCCAACTGCCGGTCTCAGAGCTGAGGTCCAACTTTCCGCCGCACCGATTGGCCAACACGGGTTTGAGACAGGTAAAATATAGCCAGCGGAGAGCGCACAAATGAATCATTGGCAGTGAAAAATCAGAATCAGAAGACGCGGACATGAACAATCATTGCGTATTTCTTTTGTCTCCTTTAGACATTGGAGGCATACGGTTTCTGGCCTAATAGTTCGAAGTCCAGATAAAGACCAGATATACACTATACTACAGGGTGTCTCAAAAGTTCGTTCACACATTTCCCATGCCAATAAAGCATATAAGAACCGGCAAAAAGTATAAGGTTTTGGTGTCTGTATGTACACTAGACAAATATGCATGCTTTGACAACTGATTAAGAAGGTTGGAAGCCAACCCCTTTGCTGTATCTCCAAAAATATTTGCCCATACCGATTTTTGCTGCTCCGTCAGCTGCCGGAGGCTGATAAAAGGTTACCAGCTTTCAAGCTCTTGCAGGGGAATCCCCTGCAGTTTCTGCGTCGGATTTAGTTTTGACTAGCTCCCCGGCAACATCTGATTTTCCCTGAAAGCCGACAGCTTGCATCGACACCATTCTTGAGTATTTTGTAGGCATTCTCTGGCGCTAACTCCTTCATGAATGACTGGCGCCGACATCCCAAGCGCCATTTTCCTTTTCAAAACGACCCCAGTCCTGAACAAACGGGAAGTACCAGGAGTAAATTTTTCGCATCATATGGTAGCAGAATGTGTCGGACGTCTGTTTCTCAGACACATTGTGCAAATTTTGCAAATTCCAAGCGCTCGTCATTCCCCATGCCAAGACATTCGCTCGGTTGCGGAGTGTTTTCCTCGGGAGATGTTCTGCTTTGTAAACGGCCCAAACCTGTCCATCGTGTGGTTTAATCGGGTTTTTGTGTTTAAAAGAAAATTATTCGCTGCAGATCTGCCTCTTGAAACTTCGTTAGATAAAATTTTACAATAACTGACACTTTTGGAGGGTCAGGTGTCCTTGGCATTGACAATTTTTGTGTTATTGTCCCCAAAAATTAGCGTTATAGATATTATAAACAATTTCAAATTATAATTTGTCTTTATTTTACTATGACCTGCACTTTTTGAAAATGGGTAACCTCTGTCTGTGACCTTCTTGCCAGTTTTCAATAGTTATGACCGCATTTTCAGCTGCTTTCCGGAACACGAGTCTGCTGTCGTGCGAGGGTCGTTCAAAACGCCGTTAGTCTCGCATGGTTTCGTCCTTCAAAAATTTTAGCCACCGTTTTTATGAGATGATCATCATGTTGCACTCATCCTCGCCGACACTTAGCCATGTGTCATTTCCGACTTAACCATTCCCATTACCCCTGAAACAGAGAGTTTCACAACATACCCGACTTTGCAACCTACATTTTCGTGCCTCACCCATGGTCAGAGGTGAACCCTTTTTGTGAGCTCATGAAGGGTCGAATGCACTTGAAAACAATGAGACTGCTTGAGGAAGGTTGTCACCAATGCCCATGCAAAATTTCGACTGTTAATTTCTTGTTGATTCAGAATTATTGACAAAAAAGCATGGCTGGTACCTGTGAACGAACTTTTGAGACACCCTGTAGTTGAGGTTAAAACACAGCGCAGGTTGAAGGGACAAGGACTAAATGAAAAAGCGTGTCAGCAAAAATATGCGCCGCGTCTTAGTTTTTTTTTCATCGTCTTTGGCGTGAGTGCCCCTCAGGGCCGACACTCTGACTCGACTGGATCGATACCTAGCCAATTAGGGCCCTTCCTCCCTCATCAGATTCATTCAGAGCAGAAGCGAACTGGAATACGAGACCGCGGATCGACTGCTCATCACGCGCCCACAAAAAGCCACGCCATAAAACGGAGAGCCGGCCGGCAGTCTGCAGTTGGACAGTGCGGTCCCGCACCGAGTTCGGATTTTACCGGCGGCCTAGAGGGCGAATTCAGGCCAATGTGGCACTGACGATGTGCCGCCGACAAGCTGATAGCGGCGAAATGTGCGCGCCGCATTAGAACAGGGCCGTATATTCGGCCGCCACATCGGCTACTCACCATTTTATTATTTATTTCGTGGAAGTGAATTTCGCACACTTTGTCGACAACGTCTTCGCTCTCGAATGTGACAAATCCGAAGCCTGCAACGGAGGAAATGCACGTTAGACATCATGTTAGATTAGAATTAGCGTCACCGCTGCGCTGTTTACGAGGGGTGAAGGGACTGTTTAAATGGGCGCGGTTCACGATTCAGCACAAACAAAGGTGGGAAGCTCGCTGAGTTCACTTTGTCACAGATCGTTACACGATGTTGCAGCATGTGCCGGTAACATTATCCCAAGGCGTTTGACAGCAGTGCTGCACGTCTGATAATCAGGCAAACAGCAGTTACTTGCAGCAAGGGAAGAGTTACTGCTCGAACACTGCTGCTGTCCACAAAAAGATGAGAAATGATGTGATAATAGAGTATTACCACATCAGAGGCAAAGTCAATGAGTCAATGAGTCAACACTGAATGTAAATTCCATGTCCAAGCTTCAAAATGGCCCGCACGGCTCACGCTTTGCATCAAAAATAAATGTCAAAGGACGGCGAGCTTGAAAAGATCGGCATAACCAACCGCTCAGTGATTCTACCAGCGTTCTTCCGAGTCTGACATTCAGAAGCAATCTCAAAACTCTTTGCGATGTATTTGATCGCATTATCATTTAGATCATCATGAAACAAACATGACCATAAGATACAATGAAGTCGCAGATGGGAAATTATCCGTCAAAATGTAACTGCTAGACGGGACAAAGGCCAGAGAGTTGTGGCGTCTTTCAGAACAGTTCAGAGAGTATTTTCATGTATCAGAGCCCGCTGCGACGCTACCCACTGAATTGAGATTTGTCCTGAGCTCAGAACAATCTCGAGGCCCATTTCGGCTCCTTGGGATCAGCCATTGCAGAATTATTTGTCAAGATGACTGAACTCACCGTCAACATCGGCAGATATATCATAAAGCTAATATCAGAAATAGCCCACTAAGTTATCCCGGAATCAAACGCTGATAAACATTACGATCAAGACACGAGAATAGTTCAAACTACATTGGCCCAATGGCTCGTCGGAAGTCGATAAATCTAAGTCATTCATAACAAACCAATGAAAATATTTAAATATAACTTGCATAACGACAAACCACACCACAGATCATGGCGTTATTTGTAAATAAATTTTTGTGGAAGCACGCCGCATCGGCCCCGACATATCGACATTGCCTTCCGGCCGTATACAGGCTGCATCTGCAAATAGAGCCGCGTTCGACGGAGGCGCAATATGCCCGTCAGTGGTACTGAGAACCGGACCGGTCGGCGACAGCGGCATACTGCAGAGGAGCGTCCGCTCGTGACAGGCCCAGTTAGGAATACACCGCCCCTGTCAGACTCAGTACTGGCTGAAATCACTGGCCGCCGGCCACAGAAATGATCGAGACTTTGTTGACGGCATTGCAGGGAAATATTCACTAACAAGCTAATGGTAAACTGGTAAACTGGGCAGTAGTAACTATACCCGGTTTTACAGTTATCTCCCAAAAATACGTGTCATTTGATGTGCCAGATTGTGGCATAAAATATGCCTTCCGGGGAGGTGAGCCGCCTTTTTAAACTCGTTATTTACCGCTATGGCAGATACGGCGGCCGAACCATAGCTCAGAGTTGCTCGCTCGGACACAATCCGGTCCAATGGTCCAATGGCCCGACTTGCCGCCGGGCCATCATCTCCGAGATGAATATGTACATTAATTGAAGTTTATGGCGGCTTACGCGCTCGACAACGAGATTTGAGAGGAGATGAAAATGTCAGACGGGCTGGCGATTAGCTGTTTTATGTGGGACGACGGCGGCGGCGGCGGCAGCGGGCACTCGCCCGCCGCTCTGTCGCGAGAGGGGCGGCCGCAGTTAAAATGGGCCGCGGAGCGTCGCCGACGACGACGGCAGTTAAATTGTGTCGGGTACGGCGGCCGAGTTTGGCGACCGGTGTGCGACCCCCGTGAAAAGAGTCCGCCGGAGGCAGAAAGGTGACATCGATCAAACTAAGATGGGTGTGCAGCAGTAGCCGGCGACCCACTCCCGCGACCCGCACACAGCCGCACGACGTACAAAGTTGGCCACCAACAATTATAAACAGTGGCAGTGATATAGCTGCGTGTGATGAAATGGCGTAACTTTGCAATACCATGGCGGCAAATATCCAACTTGAAATGAAATAGTCAAACACCAATAGACACAGCTGATACAGTTTCAAATTTAACATGGTAATAAATGGAAGATCAATTTGATCTTTAACTCTATCATCGTGAGCTTTAATTTTGATTGTATTTCCTTAATCGGCTGTCCGTCATTCGAGTATCAATCACCACTTGCCCTAGAGCAAGAACCACAGGGCACAAATCCACTACAATCCACGCAGATTGACAAAACAGCACCCTAGCAAATCGGCCAGCTGTTCTACCCGTCTTTAGCTCAGCAGGCCGGGCTCTGAAAAACGCCAACAGCTCCCGCGCACCTCTCTTCTCGGCGGCGCCAGAACAACAATCGATTAAGATTACGGGACAAAAACATATGGTAATTAGTCAGGATTAATTAGCAGCTGAAATGCGCTCGCCGGAGTGGCAGCGATGGTGGTAAAACCCGGCCCAAGATGGACGTCGTATTAATTAACTTCTGTCGTGATACTCTTTTACTGGTGTTGAATGTCAGAAGTAGAATTAGGGAAACTCGTGCGAGATGTAATAGCGCACCAGCCATATTTCATTACCTCAGCCGTAAGTCCTCCTTTTAATTCTGAAAACCAAACTAATGTACGAAAAGGTGCAAATGCTGTTTTGTTGCAAGAACCCAAAACATGTCTCATTGTTATGTTTCGATTTTTCATCACCATTGGGCCAGCTTTCGGCGCTGGCTCTTTGAAATGCCAAGCCATTTAACGTTAGCGATGTACATCCTTATTATCGCAATCGTTAGCAGCTCATTATTATGTACGATTTCAGCACTGGCTTGTGTACCATGTGACAGCTATCAGACCATTAGCGCTTTATTCATTCCTGAAATGGGCACGGCCCACTAATGACCTTTTATATTACGGCCCACTGCAGTCGCTTCGTTAGCGGAGTTTATTGCCCATTCAGCGGCCCGAATGGAAACGGTCGTCAGTTGACACTGATTGTATTTACTGCTTAGTCGCCCTACTCAGTGCCTAGCTGACAAACAACATTTGCATTTGATTGAATGCAATGCGATTTGTTGGGGCGGTGAGATAGAAAAATACACCCTAAAGGGTGCTGATCCGTGAGACGTCAAGACAACTAGCATTGTAGCAATCAGTTCATGGCAATCCGCTTACGCTACTTGGCCATTTTCTATCATTCTTAGCATGTCTAGACTAGAGTGAAATAAAAAAATGTTGAATATTGGGGGTCAGCTGTAAAATGCTTGCCAAAGGGAAGGCAATATTAAATGCCTATAACATTTGGTAGTGAGCGACTGTAGCGGCCAATGGACAAAGATCTGCAACCAGTGCCCTGAGAGCTAGGGCAATACCCAACAACTAGCGAAGAGCAGCCAGCGACCAGCAAGCAGAAACCAGCAGCCAGCGATCATGATCGCTGATTGATTCCTGCAGGAACCACATGCGACCAAAATCGCTAGGCGGCAGTTCCCGTGGCCGGTCAGAGCATCCAACCAGCCTCGTTTTTACGAGCGTCTGCCACGCTATGAAATCAATTGGTGGTGCGCCGCTTGTTAGAGTTTCGTGGCCAGGAGCGGCGCCGCTTGTTAGTCGAATTTGACTGCGGCATCTCTCCGGTCCGGCTTCTAATGACCCAGACGCGCCGGCGATCGCGCCGCTATTGTCTCTGCGCCATTAGCGCCGCTGGAGACGATTCCGGCGAACGGGAGAAGACGGCGGCGACCATCTAGTGCGGGATACGAGCGTCGCCGAATCGCCGTCGATTAGCCGAGCTCGCCCACGCAGGTTCGGGGTCGAACGGTACGGGGGGGGGGGGTTGGGACCGGTCACTGCAGCTATCAGGTCACGTAGGGAACGCTCTGAGGGGATTGTCGCGCTGCCAAGAACGGTAACAATCAGAGAGAGGATCTCTGGGAACTATTGGAAGTGTTCAGTGTAGAAGTGCTTAGATCGGTGTAAAATTTTTGGAGTCTCTCGATAACCTTGCAATTTACGTCTGTGGCATGGTGAACTTTATCCTTGCAGCTTACGATCCAGCGATGCAGTTGATAAATACGATTATTCATGTGATGATAAGCGGTTGCAAATTCAAAGGTGTATGTAAGGGTAGTAGCATGTCAAAGGAACCCAATGCACGACGTTCTGTACATACCTGTGACCAATGTAAGATATAATTTGCCTAATATACAAGGATTTGCCTATACAATGAAATACCTCCTTATACAAGGATTACAACTTGCCTACATTACCCCTTCCGCGCCACTGTCATAACCGAAGAGACCCCGCATGAACACTGAACACTGAACAGGGCGGTCTAATGGAGCATAACACTGGTCACTGATATACCCTCGACGGTGTGAATGACAGCAACACTGATAGGAAACCTACCTCAACCACAGTGCTACTGCATTGTGCAATGTGCATGCATGTTGCACATTCCGTGTACTCTGTCCAGATCCCATCGGGACTGGGAAGTGACAGCATTTACACTGCAAGACTTGTGCACGGTTGCGAGCGTAACGAGTAAGCATAGGTTTGTCGTGCCTCAGTGATGTAACATGATGTTCACACGATGCCCTTTTGCCGCGCATGTTATGTGATATATTCTGAACGAGTTAAGAAAAATAATTCAGCTTTCTTGAATGACCGACGAGTAATTATCGTCTGCGCCGTTTGACAGGAAAGTAAACTACTTCAATTGCTCAACAACAATAAGGCATAAAGATTCACGTTTTACCTTGCTGCTTAGCTTATAGATTTGTTGGAAATTCATTTTTTAGAAAAGTATAGCTCCTGCCATTCTGCTACTATTAGCAGACCGCCAAACCATCAAAGATATTTTGCGCCTACAGGTCTCCCAGACTCCTGACGGAAGAAAGCCGCAACCTGTCTCCAAATCGAATCGCAGCAAACCGCCCGCTGGGATCGCCGGCGCAAGTCTGAAAATTGTCTGGCGCGGCCAAAGCGGGTCGGTGTTTTGTCGTTTATGCCGGCGTGACGATCGCCGGGCGGTGTGCGGCGGCTCTACTCCCGTCGTACTGAGATTGAGTCGAGCTGGGCGAGCGCACACCGCCGTGGGCGCGGTCGAGTCCCGCCGTGAAACGACCAGCACAAATTGCAGTCGGCCGCCGCAGCCGGGCCGTATCGGCCGACACAAACAGGCGGATGTCGCACACTCAGCCGCGAGTCGGTCGGAGCAGCGTCGCCCGAGGCTCGTCGCGCGGTGACCGGGGGGGGGGGGGGGGCGATAGCCGTGAGGTACCGAGAGGTCACAGGGGTCATCCATGTCGACCAGAGACTACCTCAGTTAGAGAACTGGCGCAGCTCACTGACAAAGTGCCTGAAACTAAAGCTTGCAACCTTCACTAAGCGACAGTGGTGGCTCAAAACTGTGCAAGCGGCTAACAACTCGGGGAGGCGATAGTCCTGGGTTGTCACAGCTTGGATCCGCGGGGTCCCAAACTGAGGCAGCTTCGGGACGAGCTCATTTATTGTTACGATAGCTTAAAGCCCACACGGCTCGAGGAAATCAGAACGAGTCATCAGTGATTTTGCATCCACGGGTGCATAAGGGAGTTTGCCTTACCAATGAATAACTTTTATCTCCTAAACTTCATTGAGCATCACGTTGACATTCTATACAGTCTATCCTATGGACTCAATGGAGCAGTTAGTCATACACGCTTATTCAACAGGCTGTTGGCATTTATCTTCCACATACGCATATTTCCTTCGGATTATCAGCATTCATAAAATCAGGAGATATAACGGACTCCTGCAAATCGGAAAGTACCCTAGATAAAGGCTGAGTTATATAAAAGCATGCATCGAAGAGGAAAAACAAAGAATAACAACGCATTAGTAAAGATAATACGTCATTCGGTCAGCTCAGAATACATCAAAGAAAAAAATGTAAATGGCAGAAAATTAATAGGAACGAAATGCTCCATCCACTTACCTCGATGTCTGTTCGTTTGCTTGTCAAACATTAGCATTGCGTCCTCTATCTGAAAACCAGATAAAACTAACGTCACAATGATGAATAGGGTGAAAGCATCATCGAATACAATACGGACATGCGACGCCACCAATCAGGTACCTAAACCTTATGCACATAGCACATTCAGTACACTTTCAATGACGAGCCTGCCCCATATATTTCAAAATATTGATTGCCCTCAGCATGGATGATAACTGTCGTATTTCTCATCAATGCTCTCAGGGTCCAATCATAGGCATGATTTCATTTTATTTTTGATCTAGAGTACTGTCCACAATTGTACTAGCCTGACCGTGCAAGAAACTAATTTAGGGCTTAGGCATTGAGGAAACCGGGAAAAAAGACGGATGAACGGGCAATACTGAACACTTTAACATGAACGGATTATATGCAACAATGCAGAGTCCTGAGCAGCGTTAGAGGACTCTTCTCGTGAAGGGGCGCAGCACAATAATTGGGGTCATCAGGGTGATAAGAGAGGGCTCGTCACACTCGCCGGCCGTTTGCGCTTCCGGCGCTTTTCTTAGCCGAGCGTCATATATAACGGGCCATGAATATGATTAGCACCACGACAACTTTTAATGTGACAATTTATCACGGTAATGAAGTGTCAAGACGCCAGAGCGGGCGGCATTACACTACTCGGCAACACCCAGCCTTCTTGCCAAGTAATCTCACAACACGGCGCATTGCTTCATAAGAACGTGCTTCTCTGGGTCTAATGAGGTTTGCGTTATATTATTGCCACTGTAGGCATTCTCTCAAGACTAGTATTGTAAAAATGATAGTAAAACCAATTTTAAAAATACGCTACATCAACGACACCCAAAGTGCGTTAGAACGGTTTAGGACCTTCCAGAAACTGTATAGGTACTAATTTTGTCAGCCGTTACAGGAAATCAACTCCAATTTATATTCATCAATTTAAATCTCATACAAACTTTTGCCCATACAGTTACACACAGAAACGCCATAACATGCCTCTCAATCAAGATATCGCACCCCTAGGTAGGCAAGTGGAACGTGGCAAACACTGCAACATTGATCAAGCCACACTTCGAACTCATGACGTAATTTCAGAAGTTGTCCATAAACTTTGCCGGCGGTCTGCTCGGCCGGCTGAATGGCGGCGGCCGGGCTGGCTAGATTGATGACGTCATTGATGTGTCACAGCCGGAGAGGTATGGCCCGCCGGCACGAAATCTGGTCGTCGATCTACCGTTGGCAAAGTTTTCGACTTTATCATGCAAACATCATGTGTTCGAGGCAATATCCCCAATCCTGAATAACGTTCGTCACAAGTTTGGGACGATTAAGGTCATGGGGACATACATCACCCACGGGAGAAGTTGGGCTCGGAAATGACCTTTCTTTAATTTAGGGCAGTATTCTTCAAGATAATGTGAAGCCGTAGTTCAAAAGGTCGAAATATTGATGCTCGTAAGCTCCCAACTGATTGACAGTTAAGGTGATCCATATTTATGACAGCATCGAAGAACTAGACTAATAAAACTAGGATGTCTGGTTTCTGAGCAACGGATGAATTATCTGAGCTAATAAGGAATTATATATTTGTAGCAGGATAACTGGAGGTTGAAATACACAGGAGGTCCAATGAGACGGTTTGAGACAGAGTCGGAAACCGGGAATGCCGGACAGCCCTGGTAGCCACCCGGCGTCCGACGGCTGCCCAGCCACCGGGCCGTAATCCAACACAATCGACGCGGCTGGAATACAGATGAGTGGAGAATACAGCGCCGCGAGCCTACCTATTGATTGTGGCGCACCGCCACCGGCCCCACCGCGAGATAAGCGGGTCAACGCGACACCCGCCGACCGGTCAGCGGCGGGCCGGGGCGGGGGCGGGGGCGGGGGCGGGGGCGGCGATAGCCACGGGTGAGCGGCGCCGCGTCGCTAACCAGCCGCGATCGTCGGGGGCCGATGACGAGCTGACGACGCGGCCAGAGACGGACACGACGATGGGACGAGGTGCGGGGGGAGGGAATGAGGGAGGGAGGGGGAGGGGGAGAGAGAGAGAGAGAGAGAGAGAGAGAGAGAGAGAGAGAGAGAGAGAGAGAGAGAGAGAGGGAGAGAGAGAGAGAGAGAAGGAGAGAGGGAGAGAGAGGGAGAGAAAGAGAGAGGAGAGAAAGAGAGAGAAACGGATGAATTATGAATTAAGAGAGAGAGAGAGAGAGAGAGAGAGAGAGAGAGAGAGAGAGAGAGAGAGAGAGAGAGAGAGAGAGAGAGAGAGAGAGAGAGAGAGAGAGAGAGAGAGAGAGAGAGAGAGAGAGAGAGAGAGAGAGAGAGAGAGAGAGAGAGAGAGAGAGAGAGAGAGAGAGAGAGAGAGAGAGGGGGGGGGGACAGGGAGAGAAGAGAGAGGCGAGGACAGAGGCCTGGGAAAAGGATGAATACGAAAAGGAGAGAACAGAGAGGTTACGAGCAGCATGCAATGCTTGAGGCAGATGGGTGGGATGTTTGTGCCCAGCATCCCCATATGCACAGGTTCATTCGGATATATGCACCATGCACAATCACACCATCACCATCATTATCATAACCAAGTTTATTAAACAAAAAATACGGGCTGAAATTGTACAAAATATAAGACAGGCGCAAACGCATAGGTATTACGGGTGCCTTGCATGGCCCGAAAGGTGCCATTGGCGTGTTCTATCTATAGGAGACTCATCTGGTGGTCTCTCCGTGGTATTTTCCGACGTTAGCGCAGATGGTGGGATATTCTCGGTTGCCAGATATCGAATGACGAGGAATTCAGGGAAACGGACAGACGAAAATAGCGATATAGCGGGAATAATGATACCTGGCCACGCTCTAAAATCCCAGTGGTTATTTAGAAACAGCAGTGTTGAGCCTTATACCTTCTGCGGTCAACATCTAGACTCGGATCCCAGAGGAAAGTATTAGTAATCCAGGTCCGCACTGCACTTCCGACAAAACACGGGACAAACTGAGTTGACAATCAGCTCTGAGACAAAGTTGGCGCGGTCGCGGCGCAGTCCACTTACCCGCCCGAACTGCTCAAAGTAGTTTTTGACGTCTTCCAGCGTGCTAGGTGCAGACAGGCCTCCAACGAATATCTTTTTGGTCCGGGTGACCATCTGTGAACAGAAAAATCACGTCAGAACTGACAAACGAAAAGGAGACTGACAAAGTAGAACACTGACAGAAGAATCACATCTGCACTGACAAACGACTCGCGACGACAAATACGCCCAGCCCGAGCCGGCCGCATTAGAATGCATGGGATACATCTGTAACGACCGCGTAAATTATGCATAATGAAATGTACGCCGGTCCAAGTGGAGCCCTGTCCCCGACGCGCGGGGAGCGACCCCGTGCCGCTCACTAAGCATGACCGAGTCGCGTGCAGTACCACCAGGTGCGTCGGGACCGGCAACCGCCAGCCTTTGTCCGGCGCACAGACAGTTCAGAGTCGGCGACAGACCGTGTCCCCGGCCACGTCACGTCACGTCACGTGACGTCACCACGTCAGCCGCGGTGGCCGTGATCGGATCACATCAGTGCGCAGGTGACGCGCTCGCGGCGGCTCCACCAACACAAACAAAGAACGGAAGCGCGTCGTTTTGGCCGCAGTCCGGCGGCACGCAGCCGTGCGCAAAATGACGCCACTCAGAGGCCAACTTTACGGCGAGTTTTTACACGGCCGGCAGTGAACCGCTGCCGTCTCGGCGAGATGAGATAAACCCGCCTTTTTCCGCCGCCCACGCGGCAGCCACTCACGGAGAACAGAAGCTGTCAGAGCACGCCGACAGCTCCCGGCTTCCCGCGGCAGCTCCGACGGCGGATAATTCATCCAGCCGCAGCAGTCGGCTCAGGTTACAAGGTGCAGCTCTCAGATACAGCAAATAAGCCACACTTCTGAGCACATAATTCTCAAAACACACAGCGGCTGATTCAATCACACACTCACGCACCCATGAGGAGAGCAAACCGAGTTAAGGTCAGATCAAACACAGCCGTCTCTGGACGGTCATTTCGGTCGGGAAATCTGCCCGCGCGCTCGACGGCCGGTCGTTTCCGGGCGGCAGCCGACCTGGAGTGCCGCGCGGGAGCCGGCTGCGTTCATCAGGGTGCACAAAGGTTAATCGGCAGCGTTTTACGGCCGGTCGGGCGGCGGCGGTCGGCCCGGAGTGGCACCTCTCATTGGCCGCCGAGCAGGGCAGATCGATGGTCAAACGGTGCTGAGCGCGCCGCCGGCCGCCGGGGCGCCGTTCGGCCAGGTACAGTATGATTGCGGCGCCGATCACCTGGCGGGCCGTCACACGGAGTCGGCCCCAGCTCGGCGCGCTGTGAGAGCCGGGGGCCGTCACACAGAGTCGGCCCCGGCCCGGCGCGCTGTGACAGCCCGTCGTTCGCGAGCCGTGCGCTGTCTGACGGCCGGCAGCCGCGGCGAGCCCACCGACCGTCGGCGCCGCCGGTTTTTGGACTCGCTGGCGTGGTAGCCGGCAATTTCAAGTTTGATAACAACCCATTCGTAATAAAGCCCTGTCCGCTCCAGGTAGCCATTACCAAACCGCATAGGCTCCAAACTCCGGGCCGCCCTGTGGCCAATGTTGGTACTCTGGACACAAATGGCCACCTCGGGCCTGGCATTTAGTCGGCGCATTCAGGGCCCGTGACTGCCCCTCCCTGCCACCTCGCCAAACGGTCGACCAGCCCACGTGGGCAGACAGAGTTTCAAACACAAAAATCGCTACTGTACACCCAGTCAAGTCCACATTTACCCTTAGGTTCATCGCAGTCTGCTCAACTAAAATAGCTCAGTTTGTTTGCAGAGCCTTTCATGGAGGCTTAACGTCGCTAATAATTGACGATATATCAGGATCTTTACACAGTACCGGGCGGTCTTTGAGGCGGCTGTACACAGACCATCCATTCGGCGGCCAGGTGCACATGTCGCACGTCACCCTGCACCTGCCGACGGCCGCCGAGCGAAACACGTGCCCGGGCGGGGGCGGGGGCGGCGGCGGCGGCGGGGGCGGGGGCGTACCATAGTTCCCCCGCCGGCAGCCCACCGTGACCCTCCACACCGCAGTCGCACCGCAAGCCGACATGGATCGCGCTCAGTGCCGTGTTTTGTCGGTCTGAGCACGCGCCGGGTCACCGCGGCGCTGCGTCTCAGTTACTGGCACACGGCCACCGGCTTTACCGCAGGAGTCACCACCGCCGCCACCGCCAGCTGTACCTCCAGTAACCACCACACAGTCAGCTTCCCCGACACCGTCAGTGCAGCAGCACCTCCACTAACCGCCAGACAGCCAGTTACCCCACTAACCACGCGACAGCCCTCTGACCTCTGACAACGCTGACACCGCAGACCAGAGCTGACTTCTTAGAAAGTAAGAAGCATCCAAGCCGTCAAGAAACTGATCCCAGAGCATATGTGAAACTTGTTAAGTCGTTACCAACAGTTCTCACTTTATAGAACTATTTTTTTTATTATATATGCCATTCGGATGCATTAGAACACAAACGATACGCTCAATAAAGTAAGCAAACTAAAACAAGCTAAGAAAACCAGAATTAAGATATTTAAGCAAAGGTCGGTCCAAGTGCACTGCACAATGCAAATTCGCTGCAACAGTTACGCCACACAAAGCAGTTTAGGCCCCAACTCAAACAAGATAACGCGCCGTAAAGGGCGTCATACAGCCCGCTCGCATTCAAATGCACAATCACGCTCCGCCTTGTGACCGTTGTCGTAGCCGGCCCGCCACTCGAGTGGAAGATTCGACGTCGTCCGCATTGCAACTCGGCTGCGACTTGGCTTCAACGACGCATGCAGTGGGTTGTTTCGGATAGGAAGTTTCCGCCCCGAGTAATTCTCGTTCTGAGCGGACTAAAAGACGCGGAAACGTGCCACAACTGTGATGCCGGAATGATGTTAAAACTCGGGAAAAGACTGCATAGAGCACTGGCATAAAAGGTACTGAAAAGTGCACATGTGATGAGTTCAGCTGAACAGATTTCATTATGTGTCAATTATGCCATGCACATTGGTAACGAGGTCGGCTAGAACAGTTGCAATTCTATAATACGCTCACAGTTTGACAGCCCAATGTATATCGCCGAGAATGTGTAACAACCTTGTCGGTGACATATCACGGCAGAACGTGATCCCAATTAACATGCACAGTATCTCCTGGTAGGCATCCGTTAGTGATATTTTCTCAAGATACAACCCTAACAATGTTTGGTTATAAAATTAGGTCATCTACCGGGAATCGCATAACCCTTCATAATTTCCTGTCATGACCACATGACTGTCATGGTGCATTCGGGTCTGGGTGCGGTCGTGACATACCATACCGGACCGGGACGGGTCGGGGCGGGTCGGGGCGGGGCGGGGCGGGGCGGGTCGGGGGAGGTGCGGTCGGTAGCTATCACTGCCGGCGCTGCGGCAGCCGCCGGCAGTTCCGCACAGACCATACACAGCTGGCTCAGCTCCGTACAGACGGTACACAGCTCACTCAGTGCGCGGTCAATACCGGCCAGCTCGGCGGCGGCAGCTCGCCGTGCAGTGCACCTTCGATCCGGGCTCGGACCGCACGGCCCGGGGTACGGACCGAACGCCGCTGTCATGGGGACGATCTGGACCCGGAAACGAGCTTAGGAGAGCGTCATGGTTGGGAAATCACTCATTGGATGTGGTAAGCACACTGCACAGTGTGCATGCAGCCCTGCTGCTGCGAGGCCACAAGGGAACAGCAACCAAGTCAACCAACATTAAAATCCTAGTCCAACAAAAAGAGGTGGATAAGTTTGAACAGCCATCTGGCAACCATCTTACCCCAGAATGCTTATATTGCCAGCTCGCGGTCCAGCCCGATTTAACAATTCCATATCGTTCTCTGCTCCCATATCCCACTCAACTAGCCCATTTCACCTCACCCTGACCCCTTCTACCCCTTCCCTTTCCCTCACCCTGACGACGACCCCACCCGGACCGTCCGCCATATCACTCCGTCTCTCAGTATTCCGCCCCCCGCCCCGCCACCGGGTATGTGCGCCGACCGCGCCTATATTGGTCCGTTCGGCCATCACCCGACGTCAGTGCCGCCGGGCACGTCAGTCGGTCGCCTGATGTCGCCTCGTTGCCGCCGGCGCCCGAGCCGACATGGGCGGTTTGAGGACCGCAGCGACGTCGGTGGAATAATCACGACGGCAGTTTCCACATGATACCTCGCCGGGCGACGTCCAAACTGCTCGGAGACCGGCGTGCGGGTATTTTTGAAACGGCTGCGCGGCGCTGCAGGTGACGCGACTCGGGAGGGGCGTCGTACCAGTGCTTAGAGTGTCCACAGCAGCTTGAAGGGTAGGCATAGCAACCCTATCAGGACCGGCAAACCATTGGGAATAACGATACCGGCGAACGGCACTAGCAAATGCGCTTCTGACTACAGCTGATAAAAATATCGACGGCTTCTCCGGTAGGGAGACCAAATGTCTGGCGAAAGGGCACTGGAGCGGAAATGAGCAGCACAGTCCACATGGTAAAACAGTTGGGAGACATATTGCTAGACAAGGCATAACACTAGCCAGCAAGTCGGCTGTTTCATTACGCCACGTCGGTAACAGATCGCTTTCCGCCAAAGAGCCTAGGCAAACAATAAACCCTTCACACAGAAATTGCTGCACATTTATTTCAGCGTTCAGTGAAGGAACAAATTCATCGTACTTGTGGAATGTGAAACGAACAGCCCGCAATAAACTGGTCATGGACAAGCACAAAAAGCGCAGTATTTTTTACAACATATAACCGCTGTCATGATTCATTGTAGAAAAAAAATACAGCTACATATTATTGTTTGTGTTATTGCACTTCGTAAGAAAGTGCAGAACCAAAAAGGACGACAGCTTTGCTTGGTTATATCCTCACATAACTACTACGTTGATTATAAAAAATGCTGATAACAACCATTTACTGATAGTTATTTAGTTGAAAAAGTCTCAGTTGGTTGATAACTTCCATCATATTAGCAAGTCGTTAAGGCATGCTTCTTAACCCGCGCCCGGCTGGGGGTCCTGGATTTCCACGCCCTGCTGGGGGGGGGGGTGTTTGAACACCCCCCCCCCT